ATCTTTCATACTTTTCTTAGTAGCGTAGCGGGTAAGAAAAGACGGTCTGATAACTTTCAATTGCTCTACATATTTCAGAGGTGTCACTCATAAACTCATTTGCCAGAATTTGGCCACTGTTTGTGTTTTTTAACTCTAAAATTGTGATGGATTGACGACAGAAGCATGTGGTTGTATATAAACGTTTATTGGGTCTAACTACATGTTGATAACCAGAGAGGAAGGAAGTACAATGCACAAGGGACATCACTCAAGATAACAATATAAATATAATACTAATACAGAAGAGTGAGTTCCCTTGACCTCACAATTATCTCAATCTATTACATCCCTTTACCCTTAGAACACAATAACACATCTCTCAATAGAACAATTGATAGTATCCTAAAATCACCAATTATATTGTAACATGAACACTATGGTAGATTACATCCTTACAAACAATGCACAATATGCTACAACATAATCAAGATACAAAACAATGATGTCAAAGTCCTTTTGACCTTTAAAATCATAGGTCTAACTTATTTGGGACCTTGATTGTCCTGTTTGACCTTCTCAGTGGCTTTTGATTTGGTGACTCAATATTCTGACCATTTGGATTCTCTATCTCAGGAGGTCTAGGATTTAAATCATTAACTCCAGAATTTACATTTTCTGACTCCAGACAACTTGGTTCACTCATATCAACAGAACTTGGTTGTGGAACAAACTGAGTTGGTGTGAACTGATCAGGTTTGGTGGGATTGATAGATTCACACTTATTATCTGCACAAGTTATTTTTAACTGGTCTGCATGTCTACGGACAATAAGTCCATCATTTGTTTTTACTTTATAAGACACAGGTCCTGTACATTGAACAATTTGACCTGGTATCCATTTTTCCTTTCTCCCATAATTTCTTAGATACACATTATCATTAACACCAAATTCTCTTCAATGGATGTTTTGTCATGATTTACTTTTTGTGTATGTTGATGTTGGGAAACAGACCTTTGAACAGTTGGATGTAGTAGGTCAAGATGAGTTTTAATTTTCCTACCACATAGCAATTCGCATGGTGCAACATCTGTTGTTATATGAGGAGTTGTGCGGTATTTGGCTAATAACCTGTTTACTCTTTCATTGTCACATTTAGCTTCTTCTGTTTGGTATTTACTTTTGATGTTACCCTTTTAGTTTCTGTAAGTGCTAATGATGTTAGCAAAGTTGTTTGATGATCACATTCCTTCTTACTAATGTATTCTCTTTAAAACATTTGAAATTGCCATATCACCATAATCATTTATTTAGTTACAAATACTTTGTTTAGGCAACTCTGACTGATAATGGACTGCATCTTCTCCATCTTTTATATTATCTTCACAAAGGTTTTTATTTCTTATTTAATATGGCCTTAAGTCATCATTCACAGACTCTTCAGGCCAACCATTCTTACAGTACTCATATACTTTTATTAAGCACTCATCTTTTTGTGTTTCTCTTTTAACATCATTCACATCTATATTGGAGTTATCCATGATAGTGAAGAGAACAAATACATCTTCTGGTATATAGCTAAGGCTTTGGTTTTTTAAAGGTAATCTACTAAGACTATCTGCACTATTCTCAGATCCAGGTTTGTATTTCAATTCATAATTGTATGCAGTTAGTGTGATAGCCCATCTTTGAATTCTTGGTGAGGCATGCTCAGGTAGGGTTTTGTTTTCTCCAAATAAACCTAGCAATGGTTTATGATCTGTAAAGATGGTGAACTTCCTACCAAACAGAAACTTATGAAATTTCTTAACACCAAAAATGATGCCTAAGCCTTCCCTATCTAACTGAGAATAATTTTTCTCAGCCTGGTTCAAAGATCTACTGGCAAAAGCAATGGGTCTGTCATCCTTCTCATCCATGTGGGACAAGACTGCTCCTACACCATCTGGTGAAGCATCACATGTTAATATAAGTCTTTTCCCTGGGTCATAGTGAGTTAGTAAGGTGTCAGAAGACAAAGCCTCTTTTGCTGTATTAAAAGCAGTATCTTGTTGTTTACCCCAGTGCCAAGTTGCATTTTTCTGTAGCAGCTTGTACAGTGGTGATAGTTTACCAGACAGATTCCCTATGAACTTTGCATAGTAATTTATCAAGCCCAAAAAAGCTCTTAGTTGTTGGGTATTTTCAGGTTTGGGTGCTTCTTTAATGGCTTTTGTTTTCTCAGGTTGAGGTCTGATGCCTTGTTTGCTCAATATATAACCAAGAAAACTAATTTCTGTCAACATGAATTGACATTTATCTTTGTTTATCTTTAAACCTTTTTCACCAACTACTTTCAATACTTTATCAAGTGTTTCAAGATGTTCAGTGTCATTCTTACCAGTTATGTACACATTGTCAAAGTACACACAAACATTTGGAATATCCTTAAAAATACTGTCCATGACAGCTTGGAAAATTCCAGGGCTGGATGATATGCCAAAACATAGTCTTTCATATTGGTAGAGTCCTTTATGAGTGTTTATTGTCGTATAGACTTTTGAATCTGGATGCAGTTCTAGTTGAGTGTAAGCATGACTAAAGTCTAATTCAGTGAATTTGTCTCCTCCTGCCAAATTCAAAGAAATTTCCTCAATGTTAGGTATAGGGTACCTATTTAGCTCTATTTGCTTATTCAGTGTAGTTTTATAGTCTCCACAAATTCTTATAGAACCATCCTTCTTTAACACTGGCACAATGGGCGTTGCCCAATCGGAATAGTCTACCTTCTTTATGATGCCATTAGATTCCAATCTACTTAGCTCATTTTCAATCTTATTCCTCATTGCATAAGGTGGAACTCTAGCTTTGCAGTATCTTGGATTTGTGTCTTTAATGCTTATCTTCACTGTTCTATCATTTAGTAAACCTGAATTGCCAAAAACACTTTTATTTTCAGATATTACTTTATCTATTGAAGTAAGACTAGATTATTTTGTATTGTTCAATGAACATATACTCTCCCAATTTAACTTAAGATTACTTAACCAGTTCCTACCTAGTAATGGTGGTCCATTTCCTTCAACCACAAGAAGAGGAAGTTTAACACTTTGACCATTATAACTTACATGAACCATACACTCTCCTATTACCGGAACGTTGTCACCAGTGTATGTTGTTAGGCACTTGTGACATGGCTGTAGAGGCACTGATCCTCCTGTGACAGCGTCAAAATCTTTCTTTGTTATGACTGTTAGAGATGCTCCAGTGTCAAGTTGGAAGCTGATGCTCTTACCGTTGATATAAACTGGTACATTGATGGGAGCATGACTTATTGATTTCACAGAGAACAGGTTGAAATCCGGCTGCGAATCAGTTTGAGCATTTTCACAGGTAGAGTGGTTCATTGGTTGGGTTAGGTAGTCTTGGTGAGAGTTAACATAGTGCTGCCTTTGGTTGCGGTACTGTCTTGACTGGCTAGATTTAGCAACAGACGAAGACTTTGCAAAGCAGGCCTTGGCAATGTGACCTTGCTTACCGCACTTATAACAAGTTGCAGACTTGAACTTGCACCGATGAGATGCATGGGGACCTTTGCATCGATGACATTTTTGATAATTATTACTAGATTTAGATCTAGGATTTGAACGAGCAGGCTGTTTAGCATAAGTTGGAATGCTCTGATGGGGTTGATGTTTATTGACTAACCTGCTGTTTACTGCATGGATCCCTGAAGGCGTAAGAGATTTCGCCGCATCTGATGACTGCTGGAATGAAGTTGCAAGTTGTATTGCTTTTTCTAATGTTAGATCTGACTCGAGCAGCAACTTTCTTTGAATATCAGGGCTGTTTACACCTGTCACAAACCTTTCACATAGTCTGTCAGACAGCGTGTCGCCGAATTCACAAAATTCACTTAAATGACGTAAAGCAGCAACATATTCTGATATTGACTCGTTTGGTTGACGAGTCCTACTGTCAAATCTAGCTCGACATAGAAACTTTGATAGGGTAGGCGCATGGTGGTCTGTTAGCAATTTGCTCAGCTCGTTAAAGCTCTTGGTAGTTAGACTAGCTGGTGCGCATAAGTCCTTTAGTAGCCTAAATTGTTGAGGCCCTATGACTGTTAACAAAACAGCTCTCTTTTTGGCTTCTATCGTCACGTCGTTAGCTTCAAGGTAAAAGCTTAACCTATCTAGGTAATCTTGAATGATTTCATAATTCGAATCAAATTCTTTTATTTGGCCATACAGCGCCATTATTCTAGAAATACTTAGCTAATATGCTCTAGCAAACCTCTTTTTTGCGTAAGTAGGTGCTCTTTCTAGTGGATTATTTATCCTCGTCGCCAAAATGTGATGGATTGACGACAGAAGCATGTGGTTGTATATAAACGTTTATTGGGTCTAACTACATGTTGATAACCAGAGAGGAAGGAAGTACAATGCACAAGGGACATCACTCAAGATAACAATATAAATATAATACTAATACAGAAGAGTGAGTTCCCTTGACCTCACAATTATCTCAATCTATTACAAAAATCAACCCCTTTTATTGTCATAAGCGATCGGACTACTTATTTTAAGTATAGTGGGCTTTATGTAAACAGTGTCTGGTGAGAAGATGATGACAGCTGGTATTTATACTAATTTATGTACTCGTGTATGATATTATGAAAAAAATGAAATAAGATTGTGATTCAAATATTAAAGCATTGTTTGTATAGTAAAAATAAAACGAAACAATTTTGCATTGTAGAGAAATTTACTATGATTGAAAAAGGAAATTCGGAGGCCACTGAAAATCGGGGGACCTTGACTGTAGCCCTCCCCCCCCCCCCCTCCCCAACCTCTTTAATCCGTCACTGTGTACATAAACAAACTACGAAAACATTCAAGAAATGTGAGACAATTATTATGAAGAGCGTAAAAAAACTTTTTAACATAAGTCGAACAACTTAATATAATTTTTACTAAACATTTTTTCATTAACCTACCTAACATAAATAAGCATGAAAATAGGAAATTTAAATATTTACCACCGTTGATGTGAACAGAGCAAACCATTTTTTCTGATTTCAAGTCTATGAAAACTTCCTTTACCAACACGTTTGATTGGCATAAGATTTCAGTGGCCTTAAGAGAGAATTTAACCACTTCCATCCTATTACATGGGATGCTTTCTCCGGTCTCTTTGACAAACGAAACTTGGACATTTTCTAGTGATTCTAGCATAAACAGAAAAAAGATTATTATCACCTTGTAAAACAATAATTATAAGTCAAATTTATTCTATGAAATAAAAAGGTTGACTAGTCATCTAAAATGTGTTGTTCTTTAATAACATACTAACATACACGGTGTATAGTGGACAGTACCGTAGCAAAATCGTCTAATGGGGTAGGTTCAATTATTTTCCGTCAATATATATATATATATATATATATATATATATATATATATATATATATATATATACTAGCTTATGTCGTTGCTTCACTATGATGTAAAAAAAATATCGAAAGTAGTACACTGAAGAAATAAGAAAAAACATACAACACACAATGTAAGCCTTCAAAACAAAACAATTTATCACTCTAATAACAAAAAACAAAATATACACACAATCAAACGAAAACAATGAACGCAAAACAATCTGTTTTGTAATCATTGAAAAAAAAAACAATTTAACATGATGATTTCTAGACAAGCGAACTAGAGGATATGATCACTATCTTAATGTAAATATATTTATGTTTATTTCTACAAATTTAATTGTAAGTGTCAAAACAGATCAATAATTACTTTAGTATGTAAATTGTAATATAATAGCTTAACACAATTGGTATTTAGAAATATGTGTTGTCTACAATCAGAATTAAATATATAGTCATCATAAATGGTAAAATAATTACTGATAATTGTTGTGAATGGACTTTAGTGTAATGCATTTGTTCGAGAGTATGTGTGTGGTTGAACTGGGTTAATCCTCATATATAATAGCCCATGTGCGCACTTCTCTCTCTCTCTCTCTCTCTCTCTCTCTCTCTCTCTGTCTGTCCGCAAAATATTTTCGCCGGATATCACGTCAGAATCGGCAGCGATATATGAATACCTTTATACGGACTTTTGTTGAAAATAATATGTTAGATGTTTTTGGTATAACCACAATATTATTTAAAGATGAAAAATAAAAAATAAAGGCGTATTCGAATGTAGAGAAACAGTTTTAATTATGCAACAAGAAAAGCATTTATAGTTGTGAAAAAGAATGCATAAACCAGTGACGTCACTAATGTTTATACATTAACTAATGACGTCATCTGCCATGTTTAGAATAAAAAGAAATGAACTATTTCATTAAAATTTATTTAGATCTACGTACGCTATAAATTTATACAATACAATTTTGCTCGGGCTAAACTAAACAAAAAATTCTATTAGGATTCTAGATTTAGAGATTCTAGATCTAGATGATCTAGATCTATGGAAAAACTAGACTTACACAGATGTAGACCCTACCTCAGTGGCGTAGCGAGGGGGGGGCGGGGGGTGCGGATCGCACCGGGTGACAGAATTTAGGGGGGTGACACCAAGTCAAAAAAATAGCAAAAATATATAGAGAAAACCTTGAGGGGGGTGCAAATCGAAAGTTTGAGGGGGGGGGTGCAAGTCCGAAAACTTGAGGGGGTGGGTGCGAATCGAAAGTTTGAGGGGGATGCAAATCGAAAATTTGGAAGTTTGTCCCCGGGAAGGGTCGCTACGCCTCTGTGGGGGTGACACCATTAAGTGCCGCACCGGGTGACACCCGACCTCGCTACGCCACTGCCCTTCTCAGATCTAGAATCTATTCAAATAATACATTTTTATACTAAAGTATTTCAGGCCTTAATTACTTTATTGAAATCTTTGTTTATCTATGCAATTTGCTAATCTCTATAATATATAAAGCAAAGTTGTCGGGTGCCCGATAGGGCACTTCCCAGCTACGCAGGCGCTTCAAATTTGGCAGGATCTTGCCTTGGGGCGACAAAACACGGAGGCCGGTTGGCCGAAAAGTCTACGATGAGGGGGTAAAAACTGACCTCGACTGACCGGCGCTTTATATGAGCTATAAATCGAAAAAAAATGTCGGAAAAATGTCCACGTAGGAACCTCTTCATAACTCCTAAGGTCGTAGACCGACCCTCGGGTGAATTAATTAAGCATTCAAATTCTCAATGTTTTCGAAAGCCTAAGCGAAGCTGGGCAGCATGCCTTGTACTAATAGAGATGTTGATGGTTTGAAAGTATGAGTGTAGTTGAATGTGTTCAATAAAGATGTTGATGGTTTGAGAGTATGTGTGTAGCGGTATTAATGAAAGATTCTGAATGCGTGATAAAAGAAATAAGGAACTGACATAGGAGAGTATGTGTTGGTTGTTAGGAAGATAGTTGAAGTCAGTCTTAGTCTTGTTGTTATTGTGTTAGGAAGTCTTCGTCCTGTGTCTGCCGTTGATTTAGTAGTCGTGTAAACTTGATGTAATAAAATTATAGAAATATCGTATCGTCGTTCTGTATTCGTTTTTGGATCGTCCTCCTATATTGTTCAACGTCCAGCATCGACCCTGTCCAAGAGCTCGCATTACAACAATAATGAAATTTTTAAAATCAGAACTGGTATAAAATCACGCTTTTCAAACAAATAGAAAAACTAAATCTAATAGGTAGAACATGTCTAGCAGTTCAGATCATTCATTTTTAATTAGCTCCTGCTTTTGTGTTATTCAAAGATCATTTTTAACATAATGATAAGATATGGGTTAGATTACTGCATTGATCTTACACCTCTTTACTGGTAATGGACACCAGCGAGTTGACGAGATTCCTTCCATAATGTTGTTGACATGGAATACAAACGTGCTTTTTAGATTTAGTGATCAAGTGACAAATGCTTATTCAAACGACAGCGGTCATAGCGGAGCTAAGTATGTCGTAGTGTGCTTGCAAACAAATCAGTATTGGTGGTGCTTAGTAAGCTATGGCTTCATTCGTTGCCTAGCAGAAAGGTTTTAGGACATTAGTTTCTGGTGAATTTAACTTAAGTTTATAAAAACCATAAGTGGAGCTACAGGCAATGAGATTTGGAAATGTGAAGTTCGAACATGTCGAGCAAGAGTTCACACAATGCATGATCACATAGTATTAGAGAGGTGTGATCAAAACGATGTACCTGCAAGCAAAGAAACGTAAACGTTATGTTTGCGTTGATGATCCAATAAAAACAATAGTTTTACGTTACGAACTTGAAGACCCATTCACATTTTTGAAAAATAGTTCGCGTGTTTTGAACATTAATGTTTTAGCGCAATTTCAAAAAAAGAAAAATTGCGTTTAATAATGCGTCATTTCTGGATGAATGGATGTATGGATGGATGTATGGATGGATGGATGGATGTGTGTCCGCAGCTTTAAGTGGTATCTCCTCCTCAACGAAGCAATATCGAGGACTAGTTCCAAAAGCAAATATGTTAAGCAAGTTTCAAGGATGATTGTGGGCCAAAAAAATGCCCGGAATTCCTTCCTGGATTACCCGGAAAAGCCAAAAAACCTCGAACAAATGCAGTTTTTTCTCCATATCTCGGCAACCAGACCACTTAGCGACTTGAAACATTTACCAATCGATTCCTGCCATAATTTAGACCAATATTGTCGAAGAAAGTTTTCAAAAATATCCTTTCGTTCGGTCACAAAAAATCAATTAAGAACATTTAAACTGAGCGTCGTGTAGGTTTTTAGCGCAAAGCTGAGTTTCGAAAGGATTTTACCATAGCGAATGAGCGGAGGTTCGAAAGGATTTTTTTTTTCGACTGATACGGGAGGCTAGCCTATCGCGACGTGGGATCGTTCGCGTCACTGTGCGCGGCAAGAGAGAGAGAGAGAGAGGCGAGCTACGCGTCGCTCGTTTTTTTCCAAGTGATTTAAAATTGTTATGGATAACATAAGGAAATTGCGCTTAAATTGTCACTAGACTTTTTAATAACTTGTTTTATTTGTTTTATACATTAACATTTTATTATACCTTTCAGACTAAAGGAGTCTGTTTTAATTTTTACTATTTCAAATCAAATGCTATTACAAAGATTAAGTTTAATACATCTTTTGATGCTTTTTTAAGTTTAAAGAATTTATTTAATTCACGAGTATTGTGCGTAAAAAAGTAAACAAATCCATATTGACAGTCTATTTAAAAAAATGTTTAAATCAACTAAAATCAACGTACGTACTATTAAAATTTTGCTGTGAGATATTTTGTCAACCAATTTTTGTAATAATGTAACATGCATTACGGAGGGAAAAAATAGTTTAGACATTTTCGACACCTTTATGTATTTCACACTAAAGTTTGCCTATTTTACATGACTATGACTTAAAGACGGCTTTAAATATTATATTTATATAAAAGTTTGCCTTTTATCAATCCATGCTAATTATAATTTTCTAACAATAATTTCCTCTTACACATCCGAATAATTTGCATTCATATTTTGCTAATTATATTATAGCAACACTAATTCCTTCTGTGACGAACGTATATTTGCATTCACATTTTTTATTAGCGTGAGTTTAATGTATTTTTAAATTACCTCCTTTGCAAAATTAGAAAAAAAAGTTAAATTAATTTGATTTTTCTACCGTACTGTTATTATGTTATTAAAATGTTTACATCTTTTCAAGGCATAAAAAAGAAAATAATATTTGACATTGATCCTTTTAATATGTTTCAGCAGTGTGCGTGTATTTAATATTCTCTTTACGTTATGCACAAATGTACAAACAGTGGAAATTATGAAATAGCTCTATTTCCTTATATAAACTCCTCGGGTCTGCTCATTTATATTAATTAAGCGTGGACACGTCGTTTGTCACTGACAATTAGTTTAAACTAATTTAGCGCGGTCAATAGGTCAAAAGTTTTGGTGTCGTTGTGCCATTTACGTCTTGTGCCCGTTGATGTTTACAGAAGAAATATGCTTATACAAATACATGTCTTGAGTTTTTAAACAGTTATATATAAAATATAGTTTGAAAAACCGTGTTTTAGAATGCATTTATATTAAACCATATAACACGTTATCAAGTAAGATGTTTATATACCAGGTTTATCGAAAACAATTCTAAGCCACGAGACATAATAAGCTATCTCCCACGACACAGTAAATGTCTTAACACTTGCACACGTCTTGTCATCGCCATCTGTTAATGTGTTGTTTGACACTGTGGTTCCTGTTTGTACAGTAGCGAGATCACCTGTTTGATGGAAAAAAGTCAATAACATAGATGGTGATTCTATCACCTCATGACATATTTGTATACATTTCTTATCGTCAGGCTACTCACCGTATTGACATAGATGACCAAACCAGCCCCTAACACATGTAGACCCTCCTGTACACTTTCCGTCAACATCACACTGGTTGTTGACACAGCGACATTTAAACTGACAGCTGGAGCCGAACCAACCAGCGTCACATACTGAAGCATATATAGCACATTCACATTAATTTTACCCTCAAATATAACCCACCCGATTATTTTGCGTTTTTATTTTACTTTGTCGTATTAGAAGTACAGGAAGTTTTGTAAGCGTGCAAATAATCGGAATCGAGATTTTTCACAATTCTCGACGTATTACAACTCTATGAGGTAAAGAGAGAGTGTAATCTGGTGTGTTTTTAAGCCCAAAACGTTTGTAGAAAAGCCTCGCCGCCTGAACCGTGTCACAAACGCTATATAATCAGCGTAACACGTCGGTGAAACAAGGTATTAAAAGCTTTCATCACGAGAATATACAGACACTGCCACCTATATCACCTTACATTTATTAAAGAATTAAAAACAAAAAATTACAGCAATTTCTCAGGTTTTAAAAATAAAAACTTAATTTTTAAAAATAAGAACTAATTTGATTTTATGCTTAGAATTGTGTTGATTATTTAAATGTCAAACTTGTATTGAACACTGATGTCTATTTTGTATTTTAATTTATTATAAAATATTAAACGGGCATTTGTCGCATTTGGGCAAGTATCCATTCAGGAAATCAGCCTTCTTGCAAACGGCTTTCGGGAAATGGTCTTTTGTGTCATTGACCAAAATAAAATTCTACGAGTTACTAAATATATACTAATGAACCTAATGAATCAGAGGCGTAGCGACCTTTCCCGGGGACAAACTTTTCGATTTGCACCCCCCTTCAAACTTTCGATTTGCACACCCCCCCCCCCCCCCCTCGAGATTTCTATTTGCACCCCCCCCCTCTCAATCTTACGATTTGCACCCCCTCAACCTTTCAATTTATTTTTCCAACCCATTTTGGCGCCCCCTAAGGTCGGCGCCCGGGGACATATGTCCCCCCGCCCCGCCCCTCGCTACGCTACGGCTAATGATAGTTTTTGTGTTATAAAAAAACTGGCATTGGCAGTATGTTTCCAGTCCTAATACAGTTGGTGCCAGCTCATAACAGGCACACACGTTTACCTTTTTGCATCTAAGTGCAGAATCCTTTTCTTTTTGTTTGCACTGCTCTTCATAAAGAAGTTTACTTAGCAAAAAGCTGACGTGAAAGCCCTATGTACTAGTGGACAATGCTGTTCTTTGTGCACTTCTATATACCATGAAGAACTTAGTATTTTAGTGTATGTGTATGTTGTAAAGTAGACTCATACATGGTTTGCACTTACCTCCAGTTGTATCCTTTATACAAGTGTGTAATAATACGATTGACAGTGATATAGTCAAGTACATTATGGTATTTTACTCAGAAGATGATCTAGGAATATATATATATATATATATATATATATATATATATATATATATAATTATATTTATATATATATATATATATATATATATATATATATATATATATATATATACTAAAAATACCATCATTAACATCAGTTTGAAAATATACATTAGTATATTATGGTTTAACATGAATGTATCTTTTCTAAAATCTAAAATATGCCATCATCCTAAATGCTTGAAACGCTTAGTCTATTTAGACGATATGTATAACAATATCGTAATGATAATTCTTTAACCTTAGGATAGCTTTGTGTCAAAATTAAAGTGAATACAAATTAACCCAAGTACCAATTTGTGTCAAACTTAATGGATGTGTTAAGTAGAAAATCCAGAGTTGCTGTAATATGGTAAGAGGTAAATGAAGTGTAACGTTGTATTACCAGTTAAGTTATGCTTTTATTATAGATTTGAATACATTATTTTCCTAACCGACAAACATTACATTAACAAATAGTAAAATGATAAAAAAAAAAACTTTACTTCCTTCAGCGTCCATGTTTACCAATGACACATATACATTCAGCATCGATGCAAGTTAGTGCGCTTAAATAAAAATACGATAAAAGTCTATAAATAGTTCTAAGTTTTGCTGGATAAGTTTAGTTTTCGAATCCTGTCCGTCTGTGTGTGTGGATGTTTGTGTTTGTGGGTGAATACGATAACTTAAGGATCGTTTCGGTTTGGTTGAATAAATTTGATAAATATAAGTACAACATCAAATTTGTAGTTTTCTTTGATATTTTGAGCCATTTCTGGCAAACGGAAATGTTCTCAAGCCTTTAAACTGGATGCTGTTTTAGTGAGTTTCATCGTGAGCACTGTTTAAGCCTAGTAGACAAACTTTTATACATAAGTATTAGATCTCATGTTTGATTATTCTCTCATTTTGATAACCTATAATATACGTAAGTTATACTTTCCTTTTTTTCCTGTTTTTAAAATACCGATAATTTAAATACCGGTTAAGTTAGGTAGTAGAAACTCATAGAAAAACCCCATAGTCCGTTATTTTTAAAAAACAAATATTCTCCGAAAGGGTGGGGGAACTTGAAAATCAGGGGAGCTTATGTTTCCTGGATGTAAGTGTAAACACTAGTTAACCCTTTATCTACTGGCGGTACTTATAAGTACCCCTTTAATTAAGCGCCTGTATTATTTTTAATTTAATACTAATTTTAAAAATTATTGATGCAATTAATAGTATTATCTCCCCTGAGTCGCCGGCAGTTTGGGGATTGATGTTTTTTAAACTTTTTTGGTGTGGAGCCATTTTCAATGTCTTGCTGTATCGATAGTTAACAATTGTTCTGTACAGTTCTCACACACGTTCGTGATTTCCCCTTGCTTTACCTTATTTTGCAAGTTTTCAACCCCACATATTTTTTATTTGCACCTTCAATAGTAAGGCAAATGCGTTTAACTTCTAGTTACACAATTTTAATCAAATTGACTTTGTATTAGATCGATGTTTAAAAGTACAGTCAGGGCACAAAGTCTTTTTTTAGAACCTCTAGAAAATGGCAGATTTTTTATGTGGAGTGACATAAATATAATTTTGATAATTAATTATCGAAATGTACTCAAAAAATGATATTTACACGTTTATAAGACGTTTAGCATATGTTCAGATAAGAAATATTGTAAGTACATGTTGATATCTAATAGTAAAAGAATAACAAGAATAAAGGTAGCAGTTGCACACTCGTTTACTAGGTTTAGTATACTTCATTTGTACACTAAAGTCTAGTTCTAGTAGTAAGATTTACTGTTTCAGATAGATGAACGAAATTTCAATTTTAAGTAAAACATCTACCTTTCTGCCTTCTGTCGAATTTTGAGTAATTTCCCTTGACTGGAAGTAGTAATTTACGTTATTTCCGATTTCTCAAAAAAAAAAAAAAACGCATTTGAATTTCTAAAGTACTAATAATATTGCGCAATAATATACACATATTTTTCGGAGTTCCCTCGTTGCGCAATTTTTTTTTCTACGAGATTCAAAACTATTTTAAAAGGTTTAATTAATTAAGAATGGATTAAAAATATTGTCTATGTCCCGAGTTGACATCCCCCTTAATGTTATATAAGAATATTCGAGAAAGTTTAGGGGAGATCACTCCACGTTTATTTCCTGAAAATTTCGACAACATTGATATCGCATTGTACTAAATTTTGTGCAAACTGTACAAGACCACTAGCCAAACAGCCTACCTAACTATCAAGATCACCATACAGCGCTTTCCAGCCCAACTTAATCATACCTTCCCACCCCCCTCATTACTTTTAAATTAAGTGCATTTATTTTAAATGAAAACAGAAATAAACACTGAGAAAAAGGTGAGATGAACAATGTAAAAGAATAATATCTCTAATATAGCGAATAACTTGATTTACATTTAAAATTTTAAATAAAGTTTGTTAATTCCACTAACCGGTTAACGAATTAAAATTGGCAGACAGTGTTCCCTCCCCTAGTATATAAAAATGATTATTTTCGTTACATTTTGAGCTGTTGTTGTTCATTTTACAAGCTTTTATTTAACTCACTTCCTCGTCATACTGTCGTCAGTCTGTCTGTCTATATCGAAACGCCCGAGCGAAATTAAAGGCATGTCTAACTGACAGATACGGTTCGTAGTTGGTACGCCGGTCGCCATGAAACAATTTAACATGACATTAAATCTGACTTAATTGGTTGCCTGATTAACATTTTACTTAACATTTTGTCCAAATTAGTAGGCTGTCTCATCAAACTATTCCTCTCTATTACACACGCGTCATGACTTTCAATAGGGCATCTCCACGTTAAATAGATGCGCAATGTTTTTAGTCATTTAACTTTAACGACAGCGTTATTTTAGCCGCTTTTAACACTTAACCCATATTGTCGTCCTCAACGCAAATCCCAGTCTACAAAATATCATTTTAATTTATCAACTTAAATCTCATTATTATTTTACAAATTATGTTTTGTCACGTTCCAAAAACAACAACAAAGCTTGTCCTCAAATAGCTTATACACACCCCCACACCCCAAACACTACATATTTCCTTCTGCGTATATGAAGTAATTAATATGAAATGAAATGTATTCTTAATGACCCGCCTGTGAAGTAGGTTTTTTTCTAGTTTTGCCACTGTGGTGACTATAAAAACATAAGATTTCTAAATCACCAATCCCAATTTCAAATGATCAAAGCATGCTAATAGCCGACATAATTTTAATTCCACTATAATTGTATTATAATTAAGGAACTGTGTGGTCGGATTGTAGAGCTTACGACTGCTAAACTGAAAGTCTACTGTTTGAATCCTGGGTTTTCAGCCGAACGTCCCTGTGTCCACTCAGCTCTAATGGGTACCTGACTTCTGCTAGGGAAAGTAAAGGTAGTTGGGCATGGTGCCGACCACACAGTCCTACACATATGGCGAGGTAACGACTAGCTGGACTCTACCTCACCTTGCCCATTCATCGACAGGTTTGTGAGGTATTTTACTGTCTTCATTTTACTGTTTTGTTTCTAAAAATAGGTGCCCGCATCCATGATGCCATGTCTGTCAAGTATTCAGTAAGATAAGTAAAGTTCCCTACGGGGAAAGTGAAGTAGAGTTCCTTTGTTTCTTTGACCTCGGCATGTGAAGGGATAGTGTGGTCAGCACTATGCCCAGCCGCCTCTACTTACCCTAAAGTGAGTTAGATAGACATCAGGGACGGTCAACTGACTTGAACAAGGATTTGAACTCGAGACTTACGGTAAAAAAAAATAGAAAAGCAATGAATGTGCATAACCGTGAAAAATATGTGTATTAAATTATATTAATGAAACGGGATAAATCGTTTCAGCTCTCTACCGCTAAGCCAGTCCGTCCAATTAGTAGAAAAACAATAACCTTCAAGGTAAGACAACAACGAAATTAAATGGGCAATCTATTTGTATGTATTAGTTAATTCCCTTTCACGCAAAAGCGTTGTATTTCAACATAAATAGTGCATCCAGGGATCGTCCTAGAAATCAACGTTTTTCGTGGAGAAAATTCTTTAAATAAAACAAAACTGTTCTCTGACCTTCTATATTGCAAACAGTACAGAGGCGTAGCGACCCTTCCCGGCGCCCGGGGACAAACTTTTCGATTTGCACCCCCCCCCGAGATTTCGTTTTGCACCCCCCCCCCCTCAAACTTTCGATTTGCACCCCCCCCCCCTCGAGATTTCGATTTGCACCCCCCATCAAACTTTCGATTTGCACCCCCCTCTAACTTTCGATTTGCACCCCCCTCAACCTTTCAATTTATTTTTCCAACCCATTTTGGCGCCCCCTATGGTCGGCGCCCGGGGACATATGTCCCCCCCCCCGCCCCCCCCCCCTCGCTACGCTACTGAAACAGTATAAAATATTCAATAAATTTAACATAATGATTTTTTAAGTAGCCATTTATGTTATGTATAAAATACACATACACATCGAATTATCGTACATTAAAAAATAATAAACCGGGAGTGATCTCCCCTAAACTTTCTCGAATATTCTTATATAAAACAACAGGGGATGGAAACTCGGGCTATAGACATGATTTTTTATCCATTTTAAATACTTAAAGTTTTAAAAATAGAATAAGATCTCGTAGACAAAAGAATTGCACACCAAGTGAACGCCAAATAAAATAGTGCATAATAGTGCGCAATATTATTAGTACTTTAAAAATTTACATTAGTTTTTTGAGAAATCGGAAGTAGCGTAAATTACTACTTCCTGTCAACGGAAATTACTTAAGAAGGTAGAGAATTAGATCTTTTACTTACATGTGAAATTTCATTTATCTATCTGAAATAGTACTCAAGTTATAGGCTTTTGCAAAATTCAAAGTAGAAAAAATACCACTTCCGGTTATTGGAAATCGCTCAAAAGTTGATACGGATCTACGATTTTGATAAAATACTTATATATGAAATTTCATCAACCTAGCTGTAACGGTACTCAAGCTATCGTGTTTACACACGGACAGACACACACACACACACAGACACACAGACATACGGATAGAATTGCAAAGCCCAGATTTTCAGACTGGATTACGCATAAATTTTGATAAATCTGGATTGATAATTTTTGCCCGACTAAAATAAGTCCTCTATACTTGGGATGTGATGAAGGACTGAGGTGTAATACGGTGAAAATTGTTAAAATTTCAAGTGATTTTTGTGCACGATTACAATACTTTCTCTATACTTCGTATATACGAGAAAGTAAAAACACGACGAGTAGAGTTGTGAAATAGTTTTACTTATTTTATGCAACAAAACAACGGTACCAATTTAACGAAATTGGATACTGGCAGATTTGTTACATCATCATTATTAACTAAGTAATATTTCAATTTAAAAATATAATTTGGTTTGTATCAAGAGTAGAGTGAAATTTGATTTCTCCAGCAAAACAATGTTTAAGACTGTACTCGTTGTGATGGTTGGTATATTTAGCTTTGTAAAGCAAAACAAAAATCAAATAAAGTGAACTTAGACCCTATTGTCATTGAAATACACTGTG